GGGCTCTTGTGTGTCAGGAAGTATGAGGATGGTACAAGATAGGACAGAGTTCAGACCTTTTGTTCATAGGGTTGCTATGACTCATACTCAACTACATGGCACCTTAAAACAATGTATACATCTGAAAGTTGGACAATGAATAAGGAAGAACAATAAAGAACCAGTGATTTTTAATTGTGGTATTGAAAAGGAGTAGCGAATATTCCATGGACTGCCGAAATAACAAAGATATATTATGGAGGCAGTGCAGCTAATGATGTCAGATTGAGGACTAAGGGGCCCCTAAACTAGGGTGCCCCTTAGAGCATAGTTGGGGAAAATTCATTTCACATACTTTGAGTATGTCATCAGAAGGAACCATTCCTTGGAAATAGACATCATGTTGGGAAAAGTAGAGGGTCATGGAAAACAAAGAAGGCCTTTAAAAGATGGGTTGATATAGTGACTACAAGTGTGGGTTTGAAGCCTAAGCCTTGATGGCACAGTGGTTAAAGAATCTGGCTGCTAAACAAAAGAGTGGGTTTGAGCATGTCAGAGATCAGGAGGATGACTCAGAATAGAGTCAAGGCTTTGATCTGTGATTCATAAGGTTACTATGAGTTGGAGTCAACTTCATGACACTTAACAATAACACAATCTGCAAAATAGTTTTCTCTATCCTATTTTGATTAGTAAAGACTGGAGTCTTTAAAGGGAACACTGGTGGCATGATCTGTAGGGAGCTGCTCTACTAGCCTGAAGGTGCTGCCTCTCTGGCATTACAAATCTACCAATAGTTCTGAGAGGGGGGAATGGGCAGGCTCTTCCTCTGTGATTATTAGAGCTTCAACATGATAGGGAAATTTACCATATTGGTTGATGTCAGCATTATGCTCTCTGGAACTAAAAAATCAGCATTTGTGAACACACAACTAACAAGTTTGGATTTAATATACTTTCACAGGCTATTGGGAGACCATTTATGCCTCCATACTGGTCTCTGGGATTCCACCTGAGTCGATGGGGCTATAATAATCTAGAAGTGCTGCAGGATACACTTGAGCGTTTAAAAGAATTTGATGTTCCTCAAGTAAGTGTACCCCAAATGCTATGATAAAAAGTGGCAGGAAACTGGAAATCAGAGAGTGAGATATTTATATTATAGTGCTAATTATACACACTCATACATATATTTTTAAAAGTGTCAAGAAATGAATTGGCATAATTTTTGTTTACTCTTCTCTTAATTTCTCAGTTTCTAACTTCTTGCCTTCAGGGAGATATATATATATATTTCCTTTTCGTTCTGTTTTACTCAGAAGATAATCTGAAACTCATACCAATATTTAAATTTCAAGCTAAATATCGTCACCCATTAGCTATTAATTATTCTTTGATAAAATATGTCTACCTTGTTTGTTAATGCTTGATGATCATCTCTGTGATGCTTCTTGGTACAGGATGTTCAATATGGTGATATCGACTACATGGATCGTCAGTTGGACTTCACGTATGATAAAAGTAATTTTTTTAATTTGCCTCAGTATGTTAAGGCACTGAAAGAAGAAGGAATACGTTACGTTATTGTTTTGGTAAGTTTCTTTGGACAAACAACACATGATAATTCACATTTTCTAAGCAATTTTAAAATACATTTTGCAGTTGTCTTATAAAAAAGGTAGAGTTTCCAGATGTATCATAGTATGGAAGAAAATAGTTTTGTTGAAGGACAATACATTATGAGATATGTCATATTATTCAGCTGGTACAGAAATTATAACAAGTGATAGAGGAATTATAAAACTTAATACAGATAAAAGATTTTTAAATTCTTTGTAATTTATGAAATAATTTTGTTAGAATTATCTTAAGGTAATGAAAGGAAATGTCACTATGTTATAATTATTATATAATTTATGGTGCTTAAGTATTATAGGTATAGAGTTTTGTTTTTAATGACTGGCTTATTGCCAATCAAGGGGACTGCAATGTATAGTCTATAGGGAGTTTTGTTACTAAGCACCTCTTTAATGGTTTACTCCTCAGTGAGAAGATGGACACGTTCCTCCCTTATAGTTTACAGCCTCTGAAAAGCCACTAGACAATCAGCTATAGGTATCATCTGATTTCATGGCAAGAATTATTGAGTCATATTTTAAACAAAGAAATATGAATTTGTTACCTACCAGAAATAATGTAGCAAGAATTTATGAAGAAATATTTAAAAGTAAACAGACAGTGATGGTAAAAGTTTAGGAAGGAAAAAAGATTTGTGGTGTGATCAATAAATATTTGTGGCATACATGTTTTATTTTATTTTTTTTTATAATTATATTTTATTAATTTTCATAAACATTTACAGAGATTTTGGGCTTCCACTCATTCATTGTTGCACTATTCTCTCTACCCTCCTCCCAGTTTGTTCTTGTCCAAATGCCACAGTGCTTGTCAAAGCCAGTTCTGATTAATCTTCTTTGTCAGTGTGTCCTTTGCCATTCCCTATCACTCCTCCCTGAGAGAGACTTCACCCTGAGTCATAAGGAAAAGGGGATGGCGTATTCTCTTAGCTACTTCCTGCTGAAAAGGGACGCTGTGGGTTTCAGGGTGAAGATCTTCTCTCACTACTCTAAAGGGCCCCTTTGGCAGTAGGAAACACATAGACTATTATGGAGATTGATTTTGGAATTTAGATGCACTCTTATTGATTGTGCTTGGTTGTACACGTTCATATCCTTGAAGATGTATCATGGGGGTGTTGCAACCTAGAAGACACAAATTTGACTAACAAGTTATAAGTACATGAGTCCAAAAATTATGGAAAAGTAAAAGAAAAGATTCTTTCATTGTTTTACAAACCCTCCCCCAGGTCCCCTCCACCATGTAGCCCTCGCTCTAGTCTCCTGTGATGACAGAAATACCCAGTTATATCTCTATTTTAACCGGTTCTCTCCCTCCTCTGTTTCAGTGCAGTATACATTATTGAACCCATCTTACTCAGTCTCTCCCCAACCCCAAGGACAGTCCCATTCTACAACAGTGGCATCATGTAATATTTGTCCTTTTGTGACTGGGATATTTCACTCAGCATAATGTTCTCCAGAGTCAACCATTTTGAATAATATTGCATGAGTTCCTTGTTTTTTAATGCAGCATAGTATTCCATTGTGCGAATATACCACAGCTTCTCTAGCCATTCGTTTGTTGATGGGCACTTAGGTTGTTTCCAACTCCTTGCTATTGTGAACAAAGCTGCAATAAACATGGGTGTGCATATATCTGCTTGGATGTCAGTTATGGTCTCTTCAGGGTATATTCCCAGTAGTGGAATTGCTAGGTCAAATGGTATCTCTATTTGCAACTTTTTGAGAAAGCGCCATACTGCTTTCCACAGGGGTTGCACCATTTTACACTCCCACCAACAGTGAATCAGGGTTCCAGTTTCTCCACAACCTCGCCAGCATTTGTTGCTTGCTGTTCTGTTAAATTTTGCTATTTTGACTGGGGTGAAATGATATCTCATAGTTGTTTTAATTTGCATCTCTCTTAGGGCTAGGGATACATGTTTTAAAACCATAGGCTTTACCCTTGTACCACTATTTCCAGAGTCACTTACTTTTAGAGATACTGATCCTAAGAATTTTCATACTACACCTCATTTTATGGAAGACAAACTTGGATTTCACAAAAATCAAGTGACTTATCTTTATTTTTTAAGAGCATCACCGAGAGTACAACTCTAACATCTTGAATTCTTCTTCCAAGAGGATTTTACATCTTTCTCTATTTTCTCTTATTTAAGAGATAAATAAGCAAAGAGGGATGGCTGTATGCTAAGTATCTCCAGTATTAGAAGGGTACAGATAAGTTCAAATGAAGTAAAATTAGAGATTTTAATCAGAAACAACCAATTGTATTGTTAAATTAAGTTTATATTATCAAGGACTACATTTTACAGCACTAAAACTAATGAAAATTATTATATAATTATGCTTAATAAGGGGGAAAATTCTTAATATAGACAGTGTTAAATGCATTGCTTATATGAATAATAGATGTTCTGATTTCAAGTAATTTTGTAAATGTCTGAAAAGCAGAAAGTGAGATCTGGGGACACAGTGCCAGGAGCATCTCTCTGAAAAGGCCAGAGGGAGTGAGAATAGCACAGAGTCTTACCTCCCCAGAAGATAAAGCAGGTGTAGAGCCCTAACCCAGCCCAATGGTGGCTCTAGAGCCACATGAGCAGCAAGGGGTTCCTTTATTTGTTGTTGATTCACATACTTTGCTCACAGTTGTGATACTAAGAATGGCATTTATTAGGGAAATAAATTGAAGAGCAGGGGAGGCAAAGAATATCTCACAATATAAGTCCAGGTTGTAGCCCAGCTGTCCCAAGGCAGAATTTCTCAATTAGTCCAGGCTCTGGTTTCATTTCAACAAGCAGCTTTTCTTTCCATCTTCAAGGCAAGAACAGCAAAATCGTTTAACTTTGGCCTTTATCTCTGGGCTCTTCTGGCTACACCTTCCTACAGTTTCTCCACAGCAATGCCACTGTCCCTCTATCACCATCACCAAGGCTTCAACATTAGAGTCTTAATCAAGATTTGCTATTCAGTGTGGGAAGCACTTTCTCTCTTATCCTCGTCCCACAGCTGTCAATGATTTCCAAGAGTATGTACTGCAGTGAAAGTAATTGGAAACCATAGGGGGCTGGGGTAATGAAAAAAAAGGGGGGGGGAATTTTAGGCTAACACTGCAGTAACATCTATAATCACAGTTCAATTATTATGCTATTTTTATTGCAATGTTTATGGACATTTGCAGGATCCCTTTGTGACAAAAGATGAACCACCAGGCTCTTATAAGCCTTATGACCTTGGGCAGGAAATGGGAATATGGATCAATAACTCCGATGGATTCACACCAGCTGTTGGCAAGGTAAGTCCATGAGGGAAGAAGATATGTCTGTCTCCATATCACTGAGTGATAAACAGGTATAATACACATGGCAAATTGAACAGCTATCACCTGTTCACCTGTTCAAGACAGTTATGTGCTTCTTAGTCCGTAGGGATTTGTGTTAAACCCAAAGCCCATATTCTTTGGCCACTTGAACCTACTAACAGAAACTAAGAGGGAGAGGAATGAGCAATTGTCTTTTTTGTGATTTACAGCCTTGGAAACCCAATGGAGGACTAGCTATAAGATGGTTCCAACTTAAAGACGAGTAGTTTGAGTTTTAACTTTTTTCTGATTGTGCTGACTTTGTAGTACTGGAGCATTGGTTCCATAATGCTTAAGCACCAAGCTGTTTACCAAAATGTTTGTTGTGATTAAAACCTATTGAGTGGCTCCATAGGAAAAGTCTGACTTTCTGCTTCCATGTGGATTTATATACTTACCTGGAGATGAAATTATGCCTGCTAACTCATTTTTTTCAGCCAATAGACAGTTGAAGGACAAGTAATAAGGGAACTAATGTACTCTTTCAAACAGTCAACTATATAAGATTAAAAAGTCTGCATTTGTCCAATGATAAAACATAGAATACAAGAAAGTATAGAAAATAAGAACAAATGGAAACAAGAATCATTGAAATGAAGTGGAAAGATTGCTGTCTTAATGTGGGTATTGTAAACAATGTCACAGAATATATTATGTATGAATTGTTGAAAGAAAACCCCACATTCTCTGTAAACTTTTGCTCAAAGGATCTCAAAAAAAAGGTTCTTACAAAAAATAAAAATTTTTCTCCCTACCCCTACCACAGTTCACTTTTTCTTTAAAAAGTTCTTTCATTGTTGCACAATTTCCTCTCCCCCAAACCCGCAGTCCACTTTGCCATGCATTTCTTTATCTGGACTGCTGCACATAATCATACATTTCTTTTTTTTAAATTCCATTCTTATAAATTATTTTTATTCATTTTAATGAAAATTTATAGAGACTATATCCAAAAACGACTGGAACAGCACATCAACAGAGAACTACCAGAAGTCCAGGCTGGTTTCAGAAGGGGTCGTGGTACTAGAGATATT